TTTACGGAGCGTTTCAGATAAAATTTTACGTTTAAATTAAAGCTCACTGTGAAGAAGTGACTGTATATGTATATATTTACATTTAATTTGTTATTAATTATTAGGGAACGAACAGACAATTTGCATAAATTAGGCGAACAGACATTTTAGCATAAATTAGGGGCGTAACCAAGACAGTGTTTTTCGTATTCGAGCATGGATATTGTAAAATAAAGTGTTGAGTTTTTTATAGCTGTTTACGTCGTTTTTCAATTGAAAGTTTTATAGTGTCGTGAACATTTGGCGATCCTGCCAGGACGTGTATAGTGTACCGTTATTCGAACGTGTTTGATATGATATGGTAACCGAAATAACCGGAGAAAATAGTGAAATCGTAAACAAACAAAACAGCGAAGCGTCGCTAGAAAATATACAGCCACGGACAACGCTACAGATTGAAAGTTCTGTGCAAGGTGAGGAAATCGTTCTTTTAAAAAGGCAGAAACGTGCCTTTAAAGCCAAACTTACAAGGCTTAAACATCAGATCGAAAAGCTATGTATTACTGACTCGGTCGAAGTAACTGAGGTTGAATCGAAAGTAGAGCAACTATGGCAAAATTTAGAAGAAATGTACGAAGTTGTAGACGAAATAACTCGGTATTATATAACTGCCGGTCAGCTTGAAAAACAGTTAGAATCGAATAAAGAATCGGACGATATCGAAGCAGTAATTTCTAAGGCAATAGAAACCGCACAAAGTTATCTTTAAAGCTAAATATAAAGCGAACAGTTCACAGTCTAACACAGGGATTATTCTAAGGTGCAGTGATAACCAATTTGTGCAGTGATAAATGAGATTTGTGCAGTGATAAATTACATTATGTGCAGTGATAAAATACGATATTGTTCAGTACCAGAAATTGGCGACAAAATGGCCACTGTATGCTTGTATACTAATTTGCATATAGTCCGCATACAATGGCTTTCAGTTTTTACTGGGAATATATAGAGTGAAAATATTTAACTCAAAATCATTGCAATCTGAGAGCTCATCTATACTGTTTGCCGACCTCCTGATCAATTTTAATTGATTTTAATTTTAATTTTAATGCTTAAAAGCATTCATATACTAATGCTTCGGAGGCATTTTTATTCCGATCGGGTATCTCTCCTAGCGGCCAAGTCGTGTTCAAGAAAATCATTTTTATGTCACCTTCGTATGGTTAAACTGCTGCCGAGCGATTTTGTTTTGAGATTTTTGACGCTGTTTAAATGGTGTAGAGTAATCTTAGACTATAGTACGAGTGTAAAAAACTAGATCTTGAGCAATATCGCTTGGTGTTTTGCATGCGATTCAAAAAATATTTGAAAATGTGAATATTTTTGCATGTAATAGAATATGCAGCATGCAGATTTGGGCTCAATACTCATTAGCGGTGATTTTAGCTCATTTGCCTGCATATAATTAGTGACATGCATGCGGCAAACTTTAAGTTGCAGAACCAGAGTACTGTATATACATGCACTTATGCAGGGCAGTCATAACGTTTTCTAAAATGTCGCTAAATTTATATAAATTTAATCATTTTTCGCACTTTTGGCAGTGATAAAATTTCCTTAGAATAATCCCTGCTAACACGAATTATGAGTCGTCTTTGCCGAATGTAAGCAATTCGCCTGATAATAACATGCCGCCTCAAGTTAATATTTCACCGAAAGTTAATACTTCTTCAAGCAATAATATCGAAAACAACGTAGCCTACCAAGTAAATATTAATACGCCGGAGAGTACGGAAGAGATTCCATCACCTTCGTTTGAGAGAAATTATTCACGTTTAAAACCACAAAAAGTGCCTAGTTTTGACGGGGACAAAATTAAATTTGAAGATTTCTGGTTATTGTTTGAGAGCTTGGTTGATTGTTGTAAAGAACCGGTAAATATTAAGATGGCTCGACTGCGTCAGAGCCTGTCCGGTGAAGCCTTGGTAGCTATCAGGGGACTGGGCGTGTCCAGTCTTGAATATGAAGAAGCGAAAAGTATTTTAAAAACAAAATTCGGTGGACAGAGACGGCAATTACGTGCATATTTATTTCAGTTAGAAAGTTTGCCTCAAATTAAACCGAGGGACACAAAGGATTTTGAACGCTTTGCTGATTTAGTTCGTGTGACAGTAGTGAAGTTAAAGGCAGAAAACCGTCAGGGAGAGTTAGGCAATGGTTCCCTGCATAGCTTACTCGTGAAAAAGCTGTCAGATAGACACCTTGAAATGTATAGTAGGTGGCTTGGAGAAGGTAGTCGTGAACAATCAGTGACTAGTCTCAGTGACTGGCTCAAGGAGAAAGCGAAGATTCGTGTAGAAGCGATGGAGATGGGTCATGGGGTTCGACATGATCCTAATATTGGTGATTCGCGACAGTCACAGGAACGGAATAGATACAGAAAGTCGTATACAGTGTACTCCAAGCAGGAAGATGACCCACCAGGGGTATCAAGAGTGAAACCGTGTTCGGGGTGTGGTGCGAGCGACCATAAAGTTTGGAAATGTAGAGTGTTTCGTAGTACTAATGTTGACGAGCGTTGGAGAATTGCAAAAGAGAGACGGTTGCGTTTCCGTTGCCTTGGTAGCGATCATCAAGGCAAGGACTGCAGAAGATCTTAAAAATGTGGAATTGATGACTGTCACCTTAGTCATCACAGTTTACTGCACAATCCTAAACAAATAGAAAGCAAGTCGAAGAAGGAACAACCAAAGGATGAAAACCCCCCCTGGAACTCCACGGGAGGGGTACAAGATGGTAATATATACTAAAACTGTCTGTACCAGTGTTGGTAGTACCAATGTGAAAATGCTGTGCTGAGTGGTTATATTACTACCTTAAAACAAGATGTCGCTGGAATACTAGGAATCCAGGAGCCATTTGAAAAAGTGAAAATTCATGTCCTCAACGATTCTGTAGAAACTTTCGAATCAATGCCAGCTACCGTAATGATTGAAAGTGTGGATGACCAGTTTAGCAAAGAAGTTCGAGTGAGAACGTGTCCATGAAACGAAACTGGGAACTACCGCGTAAAAGATTGGTCGAAGCAGCAGTCGATGGGCACATCTGGGTCCCTGTAGATTTCCCAAGCCGGCGGGCGATGGAACCGTAGATATGCTTATAGGAGTTGACAATGCTGACTTGCATTTATCGATGGTCGACATTCGCGCAGAGAATTGATATATACAAATGATGCCTGTTTTAAGACCGTTAGTTAAGCCATTTTGCTCTTATTACGCGTAATAAGGTAATAAGCATTGAAACTAGCTATGTAGGCAAAGTGACCAAGGTAATAGGGTATACCATGCCCACTATAAGACCGGTATATTGCGTTTTTTGTCTTATTACTCGTAATTGCGTAATAAGTGTTCAAGTTGCATGGGCAGGTTGGACAGGTAAAAACGGTTCTGAGGTTTATCATAATTGCAAAATGTATATGCAATGCACATGTTATATTCCTGGTGAATTAAGCACATGGCATAGACCAGCAACAAGGTAATAAGGTAATAAGCATGCAAGGGAATAAGCACACATAAGCAAGCAATAAGGTAACAAGGTAATAAGGTAATAAGCATGCAAGGGAATAAGCACACATAAGCAAGCCATAAGGTAATAGGGTAATAAGGTAATAAGCATGCAAGGGAACAAGCACACATAAGCAAGCAATAAGGTAAGAAGGTAATAAGCATGCAAGGGAATAAACACACATAAGCAAGCAATAAGGTAACAAGGTAATAAGGTAATAAGCATGCAAGGGAATAAGCACACATAAGCAAGCAATAAGGTAATAAGGTAATAAGCATGCAAGGGAATAAGCATACAAAACAAAATCTGAAAACATATTCTACACCTGCTATAAAATTTCCTTAATGTTGAGTATCAGTATGTATGTATTTATGCGCCCAAGCCCGCACTGCCGCACATTGTATCCTTCACGGCCAACTAGTTTCAGATAGACGTGAAATTTTGCCTGTCTTGATTGTGAATCGACCAAGCGCGCAATCTCGGCGTTTAATAATAAGATGTTGTTTATGGTGTCGTTACAATTACTGCGATATATTATAAAAAATTGATCAGGTGATATGGCGATATCATAATCCACTGCGATAAATTTTGGACGGAAATTGGATAGTGTCTAAAAAATAGTGATGTATGCCGATCACGAGTTCAAAGGCAAAGCACAGGTTTAAATACAATTTTAAAAGAAATGTCGAAGCGACGACGTGGTTCGGACATGTTTTCGCGAGAAGCATTTCTTGCCCGGTTGGCATCAAAGGCCGAGGCGAGGGAAAATATGATCAACAAGATCGCAAATTTTGTTAGTGCCAAAAATCTGCGTTTGTCTCCTTTAACTAATTACGTCATAGTCGTTTCTGGCTTTTGTTGGCTGCCGCCTAGCCATCCTGTTGCGCTGTTGACTTTTTTATGGTTCGAAGGTAAAGTGTTTTTATCATTTGTCTTTTCAATGAAATCTTCATCATACATTACTATAGGGCCTGTTAACAAGAATATTGTCACAGAGCAATGTATCATATAGAACTAGCACCATGCAATTCAAGCCTTACTATAGAATTAATTAACAGAACATCGAATTTTACAGAGGACCACCTGGACGCACAAATTGGCTTTTATTTTCCAGATGTGAGGTTTATATTATGAATCATACCGGTTCAGTAATAATGCAACCGTATTTAACATTGCAAATACAATGTCATATAATATGAAGAATTTCGGTAGCGATATCTTATATAACGCAGCGAATCTCAATTAAGTAATGCAATAACATGTGGACGTATTGTTTGAGGGTTAAAATATTTCATTGAAAAAGCGTAAACATTTACAGGGTTAGCTTTGAAAGGGTATTATAACCCCTATAAGGCAAAGCAAATATTCATTGAGAGGAAAACATATTCTTCAAATTCCAAAGGTGAATACCACAACTTATGGGCTGAAATCCTGGCGATAC